ACTTTTTCCATGATATCATGTCTTTTTGCTTTATTTAATGATCCACTGGCTATTCAGAGACAAATGTCCCACAGGTGGTTTTGGTCATTGTCATTTCTCAAATTAATGAGAAAGTAGGTCATGTTGTTGGTTTAACTTTTAGCTTCAAGCTCTCTACATCCTGATGTGAGTCAGTCTTTATCAGTACAGATAAAGTTTCTGCAAACCGTAGCCTTCTATTAATGCTATGACTAAAATAAATCTGTGAAATTTGAGTAGCATTTGCATCAAGTCTGTGGTGTGAGCAATAGTGTGTGAGAGCAAAACAACCGCCACAATTTCTGGCTGTGAACTGGGCAGAAAGGCAATGGTGGCACATTTAACTCGGGCAGCATTTCTTCCTATAAAGAATAGCTTTGATAGAAGCATGTTTGGTAACATTTTATTTGAAGGGTATGCATAGGACTGGCTTGACACTGACATAAACATGATATACCACCTGTAATGAACATGAAGGAGCCTTCGTGAATGTTTGACTTTTGTTATGAAGTGTCATTCGGTAAATAATAACACCCTTAATGCAAAGTTGACACTTTTAGTGCACTTTTAAAGCCAGTTTTAGTACGAGTGTCATTGTTCACCAAATGACACTTTACAATAAGTTGTAAACATTCATGAAGACTCCTTCATGTTCATAACAGGCGTTACATCATGTTTATGACGGTGTCAGTCTTGTCCACAATGTACACCCCTTCAAATGAAGTTTTGCCTTAGATTCATTTGGAATAGTGCACCCATCAAAGTTTAGATCTGTGGCAAAACTTAACATTTGTTTGCAGATGCTCCCTATGCATTCTGGTAGAGTTTGAGCCATTTTATCAAAGAGAATCTTCAGAGCCTCAACTACAACTGATGGAAACATTTGCCAAAAAAATCGCATTACTTTTCTTTTCTGTCTTTTAAAATCACAGTAAGCACAATGGAAAACACAACATGGAGAAATGTGGAAAAACTTCAGGATGAATACGTAACATAGGTACTGCAGGTGGCGTGAAGAAAACTGGAAAAGAAGTCGAACAAATGCGAAGGAGATATGGAGAGATAAATGTGTTGACAGGAGAGTGAGGGCAGCTCCCTTACTCTGTACAGTGTTGCATGCAGAGCCCCAGGTCAAGACACACATCTGTCTCTCTAACTTTTATCAGTTAAAGTGATACAGCCCTGAGAGCCCCATAGGCACAGCAGGAGACTTCTAAAGCTTGATGTCTCTTTTTCCTCAAGCATTATCAAAAGGTTGCAAGGGCTTCCTTTAATGTTATGTCTCCCTGTCATGTCAGCTCCCTCCATCTTTCTTTTTTTCTACCTTTTATTATTCTTTAACCTGCTCATAATCAGAATGAAAAATCATTGCGCTTTTTCTGTTTTTTGTTTTATTTTCCACTAATACTCTCCCTCCCCCTCACCGCAGCATGGTAATGTTCTCTGAAATTACAGTGAGGTAAACAGAGCAGGGGAGTGGAAATGAAATAACTGCTACAGGGCTGTCAGGTCTGGCAAGGGAGCCATCCGTCAGCAGGAAATGACACGTCGTTCACCCCCCTGTCCTGTCACACACACACAGTTTGATTCCTCTTCTCCTCCTGGTGGCAAGGTGAAGGAATTATGCTCATCAAAGCCTGAGCGCAGCCTGGAGCCTTTCCATTAACCTTATACAACACTGGTCAATGGTGAGGGGATGGACACACGCAGCAAGGGGGGCTTTTAAAACCATACGTGCTAACACACATACACAAGCATACAGTATAAATTGTAAACTGTACCTTTAATGGAACAAAAGCCCCATACCTAATCGCATTGAGATCAGATATGCACACACACACACACACACACACACACACACACACACCTCAATTATCTTTTCATTCATAGCCTGACAGCAGTGCATGTGCAAGATCTGACATTAAAGGAAATTAAATCTCCTTGTGGAATGGGCCAGCCCATCTCACCTCGCTGTCAAAATACTCCTATTTCCACTCCGCTCCCCTAACCTTCTCATCTGGGTATTTAGAGCTTTGTGGTGCGGAACGTCATCAAAGAGGAAAAGTTAGCGAGGCAGCCGCGCTTAAAGGAGGCCTCCCTGCGATAATACCCGCGCAAACGGAGCCCCTCTACAATTAGCCCACGCACCCAAATTACCGCTTCACATTTTGATGCTTTCACACACTGCACAAACTGCACACACACACACACACATACACACATGCACGCAGACTTATCATTGGCTTAGCCCAGTGAGTGAGTCACTAAGTCAGTTAACTCTTTGATCCAGACCTCCTTTCTGCTTTCAGATATGAAGCCTATCTGACATAATCCTGAAAAACATTGGCTCATGCAACCAATGAGACTCAAAGAAAAGTGCAGCTGCAAGGCATCAGACTCTCAAGGGACTTATCTGGTAGAGTGACACATGTACAGTAGATTTTTTTTTTTTACAGGCAGATTTAATTAAGCCTCATTGAGATGTCAGATCCTGCATCATACAAACTCATGTGAGCTTTTTTCTCACGCATCCAAATGCAACAAACCTGCAGAGGAAGGAGTTTGCCTGATAATTCACTTCATATTTGAAGGGGGGAAATGGTGGGATCCTGGGCACCAGCCTTTTCTCGAAGGTTTTAATCGGATCAAACATGTCTTGTCAGATACATAAGCTAATTAATCGGGTTAGAGACCAATCCCCTCTTTTAGCAAATGGAAATATGGAGGCAGGACATTGGTGGAGACACTTCCTCTCCTCCTTTAACTTTTCTGGATCACCAACAAGATGCAGAAAGAGACCAGCTGATGAGAGAAGATTGCCTCTAGTGAATCATACAGTCTTTAAGGATTCTGTTTTTAGAGAAAAGACATTCATACTGCCTGACGTTTTTCCACAACCCCAAGCTGAGAAGTTGATAGATTCCTGATTTTAAGATTAACAGAAGTTGCGGTTTACAGAACTTATGTATATGAAATATCCTCTTTCACACTAAATTAACTGCTAAAGCAATATTTCTTGACATGAAAACAAACTCAACTGCTGTGCACACCGTTCATGCTAATTTCTCTTAGCCAATGCTCTTTTGTAAGATTTTCTGCCTGACATTAAATTTTTAGACCATTTCTTTTCTGTTAATGTCTTCAGCTTCTGAATATGTATAGAGTAGAGCACATTTATTATCATCACTACAAAAGATGTGTAAATTGTTTTAAATGCAGTGGAACAATAAAAAAAAATATTTGACTACATTTTTCTGTTTCCATACTAAGAAATTATTGTTTTAATAATCTTTGATACCGAAATAATTGGAACCATGATCAGTCTTATTAAAATAAAATTTAAATCCAAAATGCAAGTAATCAAAAACTATTAAAATTTTACTAAAGGAAAAAGAGATATTTTAGGGTCACAAAGTCTCTATCAATTATTAGACATTGTCCAACCATCAAAAATAAAAATTTTGGGACTTAGATAAAAGTTAGGACTTTAGATGAAATTGAGATTTTCAAAGAAAAAAAAAACACTCTGTGAAACAAAACTGACACATATAAAAACTCTTTATTGATAGATATATCTGGCAATCTTTTGATTCTTTGGGTCCATTTCTCTTCCAAAAGTCCTGGAAACTTTATAATGGCACATTATATCAAATATTCTTCAAAATGTCAAGATATTTTAAATGTATTTTAAAAATGGAAATAAATTATCCAAAACATATTTACTAATCTTTACAGAAAACCTTTCAATTTTTTTTTTTGGTACTTGCTCCCATAATCTTTCTTGTATTTACTGTGCTTCTTGCTCACTAGATTTTTTTTTATTTATTTATTTTTTTTTTACATTTTTCACATCTTTTACCACGATCATACAAAATAATATGCTATTTGAAGGGATTGAAGTTTTGCTTAAAGAATATTTTTAGACTTATTCAGGTCATTAAGACAAAAAAGTTGCTTTCTGCAAAATATTTCAGATGTGTTCATTTTTTACCTTTCATGTTACAGTAAATTTAACCTCCAAACAAATAACTCAAATTCAAAATAATAGAGGACATAGCACGATGTGGCTGCTGAAGTGGGTGTAAAGCTCATTAAAATCTCATCAAGTCTTTGCTCTCATTTTATTTTCCTGGCTTGTAACCACACCATATTTGGCTGTCTGTAGTGCTGCATTAGCCCCTGGCATATTTAACTCATGATGGTCTCAACTGCAGTTCAATAAAGGGTTCAGCAATGTATCTTGCATACAGCGAAACACTGGATGGCTGCCTGATTGGATGAGTCACTTACTACCTGGAGGAAGGATGCTTTGCTAATGTGCTTACAGCCTACTACATCATAAATCCATAATTAGCACTGAGGATGACATTTCATGCTTAATTTAAGCACTGAGTGATTTGAAACGTAGATTGAATAGTAAGTTACATTGTGACTGCCTGACTCGGTGGATGATTGACTGGTTGGGCGGTCTCAAGCTGTTTCATGGGGAAACTCACAACTACCTCAGGCTAAGCCCACCACCAGCTGTGCAGCTTCCCCCAGCAAAGAGCTGCTTCTGGAAATATTGGAATCTCTATTGCTCAATAATACAGTTCACCCTTTCCTCTCATTTGATCTCTAAACCTGACCATTTAAAAAACTATTCTTCTAAATGTATATATTTACTTCTGTAAATTTATATAACAGCTTAGATGCTAATATGGGCTTGACTGTCATACCTTACACTCCCATGAATCTCTTAAAATGATCACACACATGCGCTCAGAGCTTGACGTCTGTATATTATTGATGTAGTCACCCAGCATTTGATCTGATAAATGTGTTTGTCTCAGAGGCCTGATGCTTTTAACCAGAGTTTGGTTGTAGTTTGCCATATCTCAATCCATCTAGTGGTTTATCCATTACAATTATGTTATCGACTGACCAATTTTCATTTTTTTTCCTCTCCCTTGTGTCCCACTTTCCCCTTTTTATTGTGGCAGCAACAAGAGCAGGACCCCACAAACCTGTACATCTCCAACCTGCCAGTGTCGATGGATGAACAAGAGTTGGAGAATATGCTGAAGCCCCTGGGTCACGTCATCTCCACAAGGATACTTAGAGATGCCAATGGGGTCAGCAGAGGGGTCGGTTTCGCCAGGTAAATAATCATAAATCAATGGGCAAAAACGTACTTGTTTGTCCTTGTATGTTATAGAAGAAACAATTATCCTAAGAAACCCATAAATTTCCGAAACTTGAGCTCTGCATTTAAAATGTTGTCTCTGGAGTAAGTGGAGGTATCTTGATGGCACATACTTATCTAAGTAATGGTTCTTTAAATCCATAAAAGAAATTGCACAGCCGTTGTCTTGGGTTGAAACTGTTACTGATGATTTAAATAAACGTGGGTCTCCAACACACACTGAGAAACTGTCAACATCAGAAAATTGCTGTTAAACTCTACAGCACGTGAAGAAAAGAAAAATATTTCAGCTGTGCAACGAAAGCTGCTCACAGGAAGACCAAGACCAACAGCTTCAAATGCTATGATCAATACTCAGCTGTGTTGATCATAGCAGCTGAGTATAACTGGAAGCCATACTTTTCAGATTCTCATTTGTAAAAATAAAAAAAAGACAAACATCTGACCATAACATTAAACTTCACAGTCATATACTGCTTTTATGCCAGTCTTTAAAACAGCTCTTGATAAAATAAATAAAGTTTGTATTTGTAAACTGATAAATTGTGAAAGGTTTCAAAAGGAGCGGATACTTTTATAAAGCGAATGCAGCGTCCATGTGTTTCATAAGCCCGGAAAGTGGCCATTGCCCCACTGTAAAGTCACTGCTGCTGTTCTTCTGGCGCTAAGTCTGTCATTTAACAGTTTTTTTTTTTTCATTTTCTACTTTGGAAAGTTTCTTCTACAGCTTATTAATCCCCCAAAGTCATAAACCACTCTGTCCTTGTCCTCGACAGCAGCCACCAGGCTCTCATTCCTCCCTGTTTACCCAGAGGAGGCCGTTGACGGCCACACCACCGCCATCTTGCAGGGATTTTTCTTAATCACCTGCTCTGGCTAAACTCCTTTCCTATTCCCTGCTCTATTACTGAAAGGTTAAAGCAGGATGGATGAGCCCATGCACACCACATAAACAACTGCACAAATAAGCATATGTACAGATAGATCCACATACAAGCCGCTGTGCACATATAACAACACACATTAAAAACTAGCCTCTTAGTTGCACTCCCTCAAACAGGCAGCCCTCCTGCAGACCAGCAAACAGAGCACAGCAACAACCTGCCACAGGCCACCTGTTCAAGCAGCCCTCAGTGGCTGCAGGAACAGACATGATGGAAAGGGAATCTGAGAAAGCGGCTATATGAGAGGGACATGGGTGTGACGCATCGGTCTCAAAGAAACAATAACTTTAGAGGTCACTATAAAGAGACAAAATGTTTTTTTAAAACAGAGATGATCAGGACTCTTTACAGAAAGCGAAAGGAGTGAGAGAGGTAAAGTTTAAAAAATTATTATACAGGCATGGATGGTTGAAGAAATAATCGATTATAATAAAAATTGTGTCCGTAAAAGAAGCAAGAAGACAAAACAGATCAATGGACTACATAAAATGTAGACCTCCCATTAGCTGTGTCAACAGACAGACAGACAGACAGACAGGCAGCTGCTGGGGGCTGGACTGTGAGGGGCATTAGAGAGAGTAAACTGAGCTAAGTGTTTGTGGGCTGATCCATTACTGTTATCAGAGCCCATTACTCCAGCCCCAGCACTAATCATTGCAGACAGCAGCACCTGATGCCATTAACCAGCAACATACTCAGAAAAGCCAAATCTGCCTTCCCGTCTACCTGCCTGACTCTGCAGCTGACTGACCAGCACACAGCCTGGCTCACTGGTTTGTTTCTCAGTGACTGCTTTCCAGTCTGCCTGCCTCATTTGCTCCTAGTATTCTGGGCTGATTTCTCCCTGCTGTAGTGATGGAGAGACGATAACAAGAGATGGTGTTCTTAAAAAAACAGCATTATCATTTTTAGAAAAGGAACAAAGGTGTGCTCTCCATTAATAACTCTTACCATTTTTAAAAACAAAAGAAATATGCTAAAATGTTTTTTTAACAGTAATCCACTTTTTAGATGCAGGAGTAACGCACTTAGAATTTGCCCCAAATAATCTCAGTGCTGTTTTTACCATACCAGTCACTTAATCCAGATGTGAGTTGATCTTAATGACACAGGAAATTATTGCAATAAAATAATTATTCACCCACACTGACTCATATTTGGGACAGGTTGGTGAGTGGGAGAGGCTGCTGTGCCTTGGCAGCCCAGTGGTAGGAGATGCCAAAAAGACAACAACTGACTGGATCGTATTTATTGTCAGTTTACCATAGCAACTAGTCTAGTTATTAATGTTTACAACAGTTGATAATAAATTACTAATATCGATTGTAACAGGAATTCACCAACTCTCAACTATTTATGTTGAGTATACATCAGCTGCACCAATATGACTAACGAAGGTTTGAATTCAAAGGATTTTCATCCAGCACATATCAGATAGCACAAATTACAACAAACTACCTGTTTAAAGCTGTGTTTATAAAATTAATGAACACTATTTGCTAATTAATTTATGTCTTAATGTTTGCATGTGCGATTGAGTGTATGTTGGGCTAAAAATAAGAGGAAGGATTCTCAAAAATGGTCAATCTGGTCATGTAACATGATGGCTCCTGTGATTAAAAAAAATAAAAAATTAGTCCTAAGATGGGGGATCTAATGGACCACGTGTTGCATGTGAGCCTATGTGCTCTGTTACCCACAAGTATTTCAACACAGGAGAGTGGATGTTGGAGAGAGTGATGTATTTGAATCTCTCTTGAGATCCAGTCCTGGTTCATGACAGACTGTGAATTACTTTCCTTCAGTGATGTGACAGGTGAAACAAACGAGGCTCAGTTTGCATGCAAAACCTAACACATTTATCACTCAAAAATTAACCATAAAAATAAATCATGAAACATGGAAATAAATCAAATCACAGAAACCTGTTGAATTAATGATGTGTCTTAGTGTTATAATTGTGCTAATGCTATCTTGTACCTGGGTTTTCATTTTTGTCTTTAAGACAGAATTTTCTCTCGAAGTAAATTTTCTTTTCTTATGGAAGAAAAAGAGCTAAGCAGAACTTTTCTTGGTTGGTGTTTTGTTTTCTTCTCTTTTGGTTCTGTGGTGTTTGAGGAAGAAATCTGGTCAATTATTGTCCTGGAAGAGTTAACTTCTGGGTTAACTTAGTCTGGTCACCACGTTTCCCCATCCAGTTATAGCTTGATTTGAATGGTTACTAAAGCCATGGTCTAAAACCTTTGCTGCTGATTTGAAATTGAAACAAAGATATGACTGTAGTCTTAATTTCGGAAAGCTGTTTCAGAAAATTGAACATTTGCAATGGAAGTCAGGAGCAATTTCTACCATTGGAGGATGTTGGAGCCACATTGTCCCAAGAAGAGAAGTAGGGCAAAAAAAAAAATATCTTCCTTAGCAAGCAAGGTTGGATCTAAAGACAGCTGGTAAAGGGACGTTAGAGGCCCTCCTCATTGTTGGGAAATCTGAAAGAAAAGATGAGAATCTAAATCCTTTCCTTACATACACAGAGCTCTAGATGTGACTATGTCCATTATAAAGCATGGAGGATGATATGAGATGCTGTAGGCTTGTTTCTCTCTTTGACATCCTGGAAAATGTGTGGAATTAAAAGACTTTTAGATCAATTTAAAGACACATTTATTCAAACTCTGTATTGAAAGTTCTTTGTTTGTTGTTAATGTAAACACAATCTTTGAAAAGGTTTGAGCTAATTGCTTGATTCTGGGTGCCAGTGAAGTTCTCAAGGCCACTGACCATATTTATTGATCAGCTACGCCACATTGACCTCTTGGTAGCAGTCAGGGTGAAGTGAAAAAATAAAGAAAGATGTGAAAGAAGGTGGTTACAGGGTCAATATGAAATCATACCAGGAAGTGTGAAAGATAATTTATTTTGAGAGATAATAATAATAAGCGAGAGAAAAGAGAGACAGATGCTGATGTTAAGTGACTGCTATATGGAAAAAAAGGAATGCACAGATAAAGAAAAGAAGGGCATGGATAGTAAGAGAGAGCAGGTGAAAAGAGAGTGAGCATAATGGTGAACGATGGAGAAAATAACCAAGGTTGAAAGACAGGGAGGAATGAGAGAGAGACGTCAAAAAGAAAGGGTGTAGATGGGCTGGGAGTAAGATGGATGGGACGGTGAGAGCGATAAAGAAGCTATGGTTTGAAAAAAAAAGAAGAATGAGGGTTGCGATAGGGGAGGGATGAGAGACAAAGGACAGAGAAGTGAGAGGCTGACAGGATGATATGAGTATTTCAGGAGGTGTGGGTGAAAAAAGCATGAAAATGTGGAAAGCAATGAATTCTGCACATTCCGGGAGCATATTATAATAAAGGCACTGCAGTTGCTGGGGCCTGCATTGAAAAACAATCTCATTTTGATATCAGGCTTTTCTGTGTAAGGAAATCTGAAATGTATTTACTGCAAAGGTTTGCAAATTCATGCATATAAATGTTTGTTTTTAATATGTTACTGTGACCTAACTTTATTTGACTTTTTGATAGCAATTCCTTATGCACAGGAAAGCAAATCCAACTGTTTGACTGGACTTACTGACTTTTTCTATAGTGTTTTTAAATTTCAATAGACTTTAAGGTTGTGGTGTAAGAATTAAAGTCCATCTATTCCCACTCATTATGTTATAATATATTTTCTCGTCTTGTGATCTAAGCTAAAGCTAAGCTCACCAGAGGTTGGGAACATTTTGGTTTGGCTGAATTTAAATTCAAGATATGCAGGAGTTATGGCAGATTTTAGCAGTTTGGATGATCAGCAAAAACCCTTTGTCACATCTATATGAAGTCCATGCTGACCAGCATTTTTAGCATTCACACCATTTTTTTCCAAACTCTCGCCAGCAGAGTAGAGGTCAAAGAGGATATTGTGCTTCCTTTATTTATTTCAGTGCGTTATATCACAGGAAATCTTTCGTGCACCAAAAACAATGGTATCCTTCCTGCATATGATCTGCATAAGCACCTCATTTGTAAATTATATTGTGTGTTGTACACGCCAAGCTTTCTACACCCACATCAACAAGCACATCAGGCTTTTACACCCAGATGGAATCACAGTGACCTCATGTGACTGCACTACAATGAGTAAAATGTCAGATAAAATGAAGAACAGAGTTGGCAGGAGTGAGAGACCACTGATCGCACACCAGTTGGTTGTGGGACCTCCTAAGTACAGGATACAGGCAGCAATTTATTCTGAATTAGAGTCAGACAGAAGCTGCATTTTCTCCTGGGGCAATTCAGATCCTGGATTATGTAACTGGCTCTTGAATGCTTGCAAATTAGTATTGGGTCAGAGTTGACATTCAACTTGATCCTATTTTGTTCATTTGGAGTATAAATAAGGGCCTGGTTGGAAACAGAAGGCTACAGGCAATGCATAGATTGTTTTGTTTTGTTTTTTTCACCTGGTAGCAACCCTTGAACTTTTGGAAGACCTCTCTGATCAGGTTTTGGTTTCCTGGTTTCCATGGTTCATAGTCTTCTTCTGAGATCCTGGTTGGAAGTGAGTCAGCTCTTTACAAGCTTTACAAGAGCTTTACAAGAGGTACCAATGGTGGAAACATCCAGATATTCTCATCATGCTCCACCAGTGCTGATTGTGTACTCCTTGCCCGTCTGTCCATCTAGTGAATGTGTGTTCACTGGCCTGCAAAACAGAAAAGCTGCTCCTTCTCACCACAAGAAACTGATTTCTGTAAAACTGCCCCTTTCTCCTTTACAAAAAGGTTGCTCGGTTAACAGATATGAAACACAACATTTCTGATGCTGGGCTTCCAGTTGATTCAAATGGATCACAGAGTGAAAAGGAGAGAAGGAGGAATCTGCTTTTATATAAATGAAGATCGGGGTACTAGTATTACTGTTCCTCACCTGGAGTCATTTTTTCAAGAACTGTAATCCCTTTTATTTGCCAAGGGAGTTTTCCTCATTTGTTCTGGTCGATGTTTACATCCCACCACAAGCCTGAACATCAGAAGCTGAAAAACAGATCACTGAGCTGATAACAGGTCTGGAGAAAAAGCAGCCAGACTCTCCCTTCATTGCTCTTTGGGATTTTACCAGCACACACCTTTCTAATAAAGTACCAAAATAGAAAAGGCATGTAAAGTGTCCCACCAGAGAGACAAACAAACTGGCCACTGCTACACAGTCGTAAAAGAAGCATAACATGCTGTCTGTGCAACTTTAGGACTCTCTGATCTTCTTTTTCTTCATCTCATCCCAAAATACAAGCAGGAACTGAAAATGTCTAAATCTCTTAGGACTGTTGAGAAAGACTGATGCATTAAGGTAGATGTTACAGGCCTGTTTTAAATAAGTTTCAAAACAGGCATGTGTACAGACTTTCCTCACATACAACAATAAATCACAGTTTACTTCACATCTGAAGAAGTTGCTTTGGACCAAAGAAAATTACTGCAGTGGTGTGGGCCAGGCTTTACAATAAACAAGAAACAAATTAACGAAGGAAATGAGTGCAGCAAAGAAGCTGTCTGACGTGTTTTCAGAAATTTGCCTTTCTGCATCCCACCGTCATCCTGGTCGCTGAGAAATAGAAAATCACAGGTGAAACGTCGCCCAAGGTCTGTGGTCTTTGGGCGGATGACATTGCCAGCTTGACATGACACTTCATTTTGCACCACTTTGACCATCCAGAGATGTAACACCAGGATCCTGCTTGTGGACTACATATTAATCTCCAACTCCATTAAGGCAAATGTCCTCCACCAGAATTTGGTTGACTAATGAACCCTTCAGTAGATCAGCAGCTTCCACCAGGAGTGTGTTCTCTCACCACTTCTTTTCTCTCTGCACATAAATGACTTGGACCCCAGTCGACCCAACAGTGAAACTACAGAAGCCCTTGTAATATTCATTTTTGTGACATTATCTAGTGAAAAATGTGTTAAGCACAGATTTAGGAAAACAATGTTACAGAATTTTGTTTGTTCCACAGAGAAGTGAGTTGATCATTTATTGATCAGGTTTTGACTTGCAGGAGTAAGAAGAAAATTTTTCTGACAACAAAATAATTATTTGTTTAAATAATGGAACAACTTTTAAAGCAAACATTCTAAACAAATCTCAGGCAACAAAATCATTCAGTTCCCAACTTTTAATTGGCAATTGAATTACAAAATGGTAATGAGCTGTGATATAACTCACAAAGAAGGTGTAAACAAGTTTATTTTGATCAATTTTTTTTTTCATTATTGCTTTAAATCTTTTAAAACACTTGATATAAAATATTACATTCTCCGAAATTGTAAGTAATGTCTTATCTCTTGGATATTAAATGATTCATATCCAAACATTGCACTAAACAGTCTTTTAAAACATGCATAAGGTTGAAACTGGACATTTATTGTAACGCGACAGATCAGTGACAGGTGATGTCTTTTTATCTCTGCATGCAAGCAAGCTGTGCATCTGTGCAAATGTGTTTGATTTACTAATACACATGTTTTATGTAATGTCTAACAGAAGAGTGTATGGGCATGTGGTGTAAAAGAGCAGAGCCCTCCCACTGGCCAGCTGTTTGACTTCTTCTTAGACTTTGATCCAGCCTGAGAGAGAGAAGATGGGTTGTTCAGCTTGATGTCTTTTCTCTCTCAGTACACAATACATGAGCTATTGTTTTCACAACACTTTTACACTTTGCCCATAAATAATCCTGCATTTTCTGTTACATCTGTGAAGACTTTTAAGTAGCACTTTCAGTCCTTCTTTGCCTTTAAATTTCGATTATGCAGACAGGCTGCATAACAACCTTTTCCATTAAAGGCCTGAATTTCATTATCAGCTTCTTATGCATGCAGACAATAATGTTCCACAATAGAGAGACAGGCAAACTCTTGATGGTCTCACTGGAGACATCTATCGTTTTTGAAAGAACAGACTGATTCTACTCTGCCAAAGGGAATGCAGTCCTAAAGTAGAGTGCTTTGCAGAACAAGGGCAATTCTTTATAAAAAAAAAAGTCAAACTTTTGTAATAAATTCGAGGTTACTGCAGAATTCCATAGTCAGTAGTCATGTTGAAATTGAAGGGGTTTTTTTTTCAATTGCAGGATGGAGTCAACAGAGAAGTGTGAAGTTGTGATACAGCATTTCAATGGAAAATACCTGAAAACCCCACCAGGAATCCCAGGTGAGTTTTCTCTCTCTTCCCTGTCCTTGAGCATTTCCATTTCTTTCAGTTGTAAAAAATGCCACCCTTTCAAAAACGTCTCCAATATTTAATTCAATTGCTGTAATTTAATATCGCGATCAGATAAATAGCGGGGAACACACAGTGGTTTCTGACACCTAAGCTGATCATCGTGGCATTTCCTCAATAGCTGGTGATTCTGTAGGGCTCTTTTCCTCTGCCTCTCTCAATTTCTGTGTCACCATCTCTTTCTCTCTCTGCTGGTGCACTTGCTGCAGGCTGGGACTTCTTGGTCAGGAGAAAACCCTCTTAATATTCACACTCATGCCTCTGTGCTGTTCTTTGCAATCTACTTAAGAGCTTGCACTCTCGCCTCTTTTCACTTCTGCTCCTTCTTTCTGTTGCAGTGTCCTCTTCCCTTCCTGCTCTGCTTTCCTGGAGTCATCCCGTATAGAGCAGTCAAGGAGAAATGAAGCAAAAGTTAGGTGTTTTAGCACAGATATTTTCTTAGTGTCCAAAGAAGGATTGGAATGTAAGGGAAACAATGCAAGGAGAATAAAAATATTGAAGTGTCAAACAAGAAGGATTGGAATTTATGGAAACAATGCAAGTCTTCAGGCTTGGAAAGGCTTTTTGGAAGCAGTAGGCTGACCAAAAAGTAAACTGGGAGTAAAAAATGTATACTAAAATGTCAAACGAGAAGGCCCAAGGAAATGAAAAGTGCTGCTTTAGCACTATTGAGGCCAGGTGTTTCGGTATTTAAATTTTCCTGAGATATGCTGCCCAGATAGGCTGATATGCAGAGATTTCCTTCTCAGCTGTCAGGTTTTTATTATCACTCACCTCATCAACCAAAGGCACAGAAACACATCCATAAATTGGTCTCCATTATCCAGTGATATTGGAGAAAAGTGGATTTAGAATGTCCACACATGCTCAGCCAGTGCATAGCCAGCAGCCATTAAAGGCGAGGTGAGCGGCTCTATTGAAGTTTATCTGTAATAGGAAACCTTTAAAGCCATAATATGAAGTTGACCTTCGCCTTTAAGGGTCGATCTCCCTGCAGCTCAGGCTTTATTATTGTAAATGGATTGTTCAGGCTCATGCCAAGCTTGGAGATTTACTATCTTCATTGAGAAAATCCTTCAGTGAATTAGGAATGAGTATGTTTACAAGTTTTGCTTTGCAGACACCAGGTGCTTGAAAATCTAGGTTTTCCACAATCCCTCAAATAAATGTCTGTTAGAGAGAGCTGTTTCCTTTTTCTGTTGCAGCCAGGCGTAACTTGAGATCATTTTTGGCATAGATATATATTTTGGATTCTTTACAGCTTATAGTAATTGCTGAAGGACGTGATTCTGATGAAGCGCTACTATGACATAAAATTTATCCTCAGAGCAAAGATGCATAGACTGGGGATCAGACAATTTATGGTTTACAAATGTATGAGCATCAGAAATGACAGACATTTCAATATGAAAACTGCAAGTAAAAGTTAGATGATTTCAACATATTTTTAACATAATTTTTTATGATGCTATTACACACACATGACCTTAAATTTCTGAATAATGTCAGAAACAACTTATTAGTGTCTCAAAATGGTTTGCACAAAGTTTGTCCAATAAAATTGCAAACTTTTTTGTATTTAATCAGTGTTTTGTTTGACAAAATGTTTTCTTACATGATGCTGTTGTGTGGTTTTCAGGATAGACGTTTTCTGTCGATCATGGCATTTTGCACAAAACATTTAATTTTGGTAAAGTCTAACTGCAGCGTTACGTTGTGTTAAAACTGAAAAGCTTTCTTATAACTATGGCTTACCAATTGTCACTTTTCCATAAATATCCAAAATTGTTTTTAAATTAAATGCTTGTTAAATTGTATTTAGGTGTATCAGGGTAAAATGATATAAAGACAAATCCATGTTACATTTTTGAGGTTTTATTTGTTTAAAAAAATTCAAAAGTTGTGTAAGATTTTGCTTCTTCTTCATTCTCCACTTTGTGTTGGGCCAGCACATGGGATTATGAGAAAATACATTGAGGTTCGCTGTTGTATTGTGACTAAATTGGGAAAGTTCAAGAAGTATGACTAATTTTGCAAGGCGTTGTACAAAAAAAAAAACACAGGCTGCCTTGCCTTTGGTAAGTAAGTGTGTTGTTTTTGTCTTCCTGATATAATCCATGTTGACTGGTGCTCTGCTGCACTTAGATTCCTGGACTTTCCTCTTTTATCAGATTCAGATGTTCCAGACTTCAGGCTTGTTTCTGTTTCAAACTTTCAGAATAAACAACTACTTTTTGCATGCCAGTGGACATGCAGATTTTTTTTTTTACTTCATTCCTATTTGTCTTTTGTCCAGATTAAACATTGCATATTTTGATTTCTGAAGTCTAAAGCAGATACATCTACTTCTTGTCTACTGACAGAGTCTATGCCACGGTGTGCGTGTGTGTGTGTGTCATGTTGTTGGGATTTCCCCCGAGCCCTTTGCTATGCAGGCCAGCTTCTTCATTCATCGTGCTTTGACAGCTCAGCGGCACCCCTCGGGGTCCTCTCGCCACACACAGAACAGCAGGATCGTGTGTGTGGGGTGTGTGTGTGTGTGTGCGTGTGTGTGTGTGTGCGTGTGTGCGTGCGTGTGCGTGTGTGTGCGTGTGTGTGGTGTGTGTGTGTGTGTGTGCGGATTTGCTACACCCATCACAACTGAACACAGCAAGCCTAAACACCAACTATAAAAATGCAAAAGGATGGTTGGTCTAGGAGCCATGACTTTGACCTGGGTGGAAGGTCGCCATCAACTTAATGCTAATGACAAACAGTTTTTGTCTCACTGAAAAATATACATAGACTATAAACAAAAAACGTTGTCATAACAAATTGTCGTAAATTGCATTAATATACAGAAACAAAAAAGCCACAATGCTGCAGTTAAAAATACATTTTTTTTAAATTAGTTTTATTAGAAAGTCTGCCTGCATGTGTGGTTTTCAAATAATTTAACAGAATTTAAGAAGCAAAGTGAAAAGTGTTCACAGTTTGGGTCCTATTGTCTAAGTCGTATTAGTCTGCTCCAATTTTTTAATTTTTATAGGGGGCAACATGCAGGCTTTTCTTGATGACCTTAAATAACCTGTTGGAGGGCGACAGTAAAGTAGTTCAGAGTGATGAGAAGGAGCTGACAGAGATTTTTTTGATTAATTGATTGATTTTATTAATGAATGTACAATGTTTTTGCTAATACATCAGATTTAGAAAAATGCTCATTTCCATCCTTAATCCCATAAAACAAAAACACAAAATACAAACATTCCAACAATTAACATAAGATATGATGGAAAATCCTTCAGCGTTGCCTTTAAATAAATCCATAAAAAGAATAAAAACACCTGGAAGAAGATCTGATGACCCAAAAATTTAACTTTAGGGTCTACATGAAAAAGGTCAACTACCAAAAAATGCATTAAAAATGCATGATTCTTATTACTCTTAAACATTGTTCCCCACATAAAAGCACTGTGATAAACAAAAGGAATAAATAAGTGTTCACTCCATCCTAGTCCCTTTCAAACAGAAATGTAGTGATAAACAAATTGTTTTGTTCTCGTTCCTTTATGCATGTTTTCTCTTGTCCTACCAATGACTTATTTTCTTGTTTTTAAAAACCTGTTTGAAATAAATAGAAAATTAAATGGTGGTGGCAGCATCATGTTGTGAGGAAGTTCTTCTCCAGCATGGTCAAGGAAGGTCTTTTAATTTGAAGGAAACATAAAGGTAGAAGAAAACACGATAATCCTGGAAGAAAACTTGAGAAGTTTCAAAACAGAGGGGTCAAGGTTCACCAAGAAGAACGAGTGTAAACATACAGCGAGAACTAAGAAGCAGTGGTTGAGGTCAGACAATATTCGTGCAATACAATGACCCAGTCAAAGACCAGGCATAAATCTTGTTTAGAATCTATGGCAGATTAATATGCACTTCTACTATGGCTGAGTACAAATAATTATGCAAAATAATTGCAAAGCTGACACAGAATTGCTCAAAAAGAGCAGCTGTAATTTATGCAAAAATTAGTTTAATAAATTATTGATTCAGAGGAGGTCAGTGCAAAAACAGTCCACACTGAGATTTTTATGAATAAAAACTTATTTTTGTTTGAAGTGGAAATATGCTTGTGGAAGGCACAGTATATAACTCTTTTCTATGTTTTCATCTTCTCCACACTCTGCGTGTGTGTATGAATGCAAATGGAAATGGTTTCTTTCTTCAAGCCAGGTGTTCAGCGCCAACAAAGAGATATTGAATCGTAACCTTGCTGTCCCATAGTAGGAAATAAATATCTAGATGTCAAGTGCCAGGTCATGTGTTAAATTCAACCGACCATGGGAAAGCAAATAAAAAGGAAGTGCCCATATTGGCAGGAAGTTAATGCTGAGTTACAGATAGCGCATCAGCAAAGGGGAGCGTGAACATTTAGAGCAGAATATTGTCGTGATTCAAGCAGATGCCAGCTAATAGCAGCACAGAAAACGTTCATACATTTCCTATTTAAATTTTAATCCGAGAACATCGAACTTCCTTGTGATTACATGCGATACTGAGCTGAATTACAGTGTAGAGACACAATAGCAGATGGCAGCTAATGATACTTAACAGCCTCCATTTTCCCAGTGATAAGTTTTTAATGAAATTGTATGCATTTGTCTGAACAGAGTTTCTCAAAGTAGTGCCTTTATTTGCCTTAATTTAGGATTTTGTTTGAAATGATCTTCAGTTAGAGCCAGGACTTGTGTGTCATGTTGTTGGGAGTTCAATGTGTGTCATGTTGTTGGGAGTTCAATTAGTACTGATTTCCTCTATTTGGAAAGTATAATTGGTAATGCAGAAGCCTAATTTTGATCCACTTCTGTTTGCCCTGTAAAGCTGTGAATTTCATTTTCAATCCCTCTGAAAAATCAATGAACAGAAACCATTTTCTTCTTAAAGGTTTTACTGTG